AACACCTCGCGTTTGCTCAAAAAAAAATACGAACAAAATCACTTGATCAATGCCGAGGTTAATAGAAAGTCGGTCGTGGCCATTCTCTACATTTAATAATTTGCAAATACAAAATATTTCCGCGGAATTTTGTTCGTTTGGTATAATTCTCTGGTCGGGTATTTCGCTTTCTGTGTTAGTTTCATCCAGAGAGCTACCAGTGGAAAAAGAAGGAATGAAAAGTAATCTGTGAAATCTAAATGTTTTACAAATGAGTGTTTAATCTTTAATGCACAGGACATGATTCGTTCTATGCGTACTGGAAGTGTGGTAGTTGACCTGGCCGCTGAAGCCGGTGGCAATATCGAAACAACGAAGCCTGGAGAGTGCTACAGAAAGCATGGAGTCGTTCACATAGGATATGTTGATCTGCCGTCCAGGTTCGTTTATCAAGTTGTACTACAGAACATCTGACAGAGCAATAGGGGCATGTTCACACCTAATTTTTTCCCCATTTTCCTCTTTCCTTCGCATTTGAAGGCTTTTCATCGAACGAAATACTTACTTACTTGTTTGGATACTCAGACGGCCCATCCTCACTAATTGTGCAGACTCCAGAATCAATCCCATTTTCTGAAGTTTTGCTGGGTTGGCCACTGTGGTTTACTGGAGTCCCGAAGTGAACCTGGCCAAAGCCTGCCCCTGGTCGTCACCACCGCAGGCAGTCGCAGCCCTTGTGGATCAGAGGGCGATTTACCACCATGCGACTAGTTTCATACCAGGACGGCGGTGGATTATGGTATTGGTTTTCTCTTAGCTAGGCTTCCTGATGGAAACCCTGGGTTCCTTCTCATCTTGGGAGACCCTGCCGGAAGGACAATCTCACCGCTGCACATCGCAGTCCGGCACCCAGGTACACCTGCCAGCCACGATGATGCGGTAAACCGTCGGCACGTCTAGGGAAATAGTTTTCTATTAATCTAAAGTGAAGTATTCTTTCTAAAGTAGGATATCGGTGTCCAAAGTGAGTTTTAAGAAGAATAATTGTGCCACTAGCAAACATTTGTGATTGAACGAAAGCGTGTTGAATTAACGTGTTTTAGGGTTTCGTTTTGTTTTCAGAAAATTTTGGCATTTTAGCTCTTTTTAGTATTTTATCACCACAAGCCTGGTTGAAACATTACAAGTATATTTTTAAGATTGCCCACTCAAGCTAGCACGTTATACGCTAACAACATTTCGAAGCTACTGATGTATATGTCTGATAAGGATGAGTTTAAGATTAATTTGACCGACGAGGTGAGTATGTAAGAACATCCTTGTATAACATTATTTTCACTGGATGACTAGCAGATTGTCCGCGATATGCATTGATTCTGATGCATAACTTTCCGGAAGGGCTAACCTTTTCGAGTTTCATTGAACATGCCTCAGCTCATACTATTTTTCTAGTTGAAATAAAAAGCGGTTGAATATACAGTTTTTTGCTAACAGTTCCCATGCTCGTTTACAAGTTTTATTTCACCACAATGAGTTTCCAATCTTGTGTTGTCAAAGAACCATTTTTTTTTTGGCATCGAAGCACATTTTTCTAGCATTAGAAGCAGTTGAAGGACAAAAATTTCTTCTAGGTAGGCGCAGTGATGTTTTGATATTAGATATTACTGATGCTTGTAGTCGCTGTAGTTGTGTTGAAATTTTTAGCAATTTGAGCTGTTTGAATATTTGAGTGTTAAACAGAATTGGAACGGAAATGATTTATATGCACCATTAGAGCGTTAGGTCAAAGTCTGTTATATTCTGAGGTTCCTAAGTACTTTATTTACAAAAAATTGTGAAGTTATTGAAAGGCATCATCATGGTGAAAGCGTGAAGAACGTTGAACTCTAGGTTGTTCGCAGTGCTACAGTGCTACATCGTGGGGAACAATTGTGGCCACCTCCAGTAAGAGCTAGTCCTTCGCCGATGAAAAGTGTGAAGGTGAATTCTAGAGGTTGATGCATTTCTGGTTAAACTATGACCAAATGTAACTATAATGATGCTGAGGTATTTGCAAAACTTCGCCCCACTGGTGTTTGCGGCGGGGACCGAACACGCTATTACTCTTTCCGGGGGCAAGAAAAAGAATGGGCAGTAAGTAAAGAGTAAGGACATTGTGATTTATGTCACAGCTTCAGCTTAACTGGGTTCAATGCCGATTTGTGCTTTCCAGATCAATCCCGTTGGCGGCTGATTGTTGATAGCGTCCGTAGGTCAATAACACAGCTGAGAGAAAGGCGAAACGAAAGACTTTCATGATGTGGTGGTGAACGTGTTGGTGCAAATATCTCAGCATCCATAATGACATCTCAACATTATTATGCATATGTTTCACGTAATACTTTGCCATTAAAAAAAAGAGTAAGCAGCAAATAAAAAGTAGCGACATTATGACTAATTAAATAGACCATTATTTATCAATCATTGCAAATGAAGAAACGATAGTTTTTCCTAATTCTAGCTTGAATTCCCAGTTTCAACTGGACTTCCTGACCATATGGACTATTTTTAGAAGAGGTGATGGTTTTTAAGTGGAGTAAATCTGCTCCACGATTTTCAGTGGAAAGAACTATGTAGTTCCAATGGGCCCATTTAGTAATAAACTCTACTCATCATTGCTTTCTACCTAAAATTCCTCGCTCCTGCAGTTTGTGAATGTTCATTTGTTTAGAAAAGGCTGAGTTATCTTAAAGAGTAGAATATATCTGTTGGCAACCCTAATTTATAGACGGCTCTCGCGGTTAATTGGATTCAACTTTAATAGTTTTCAGGAAGTTGCTGACAAATCTGAATCGGTTCCTGTCGAAATTTCTCCATTTGTGGTGACCGCCCGTAAAGCGGGTGCCATTACAGCAGGTTTTAAAACTAATTGACAATAACAACACAAGATTCACGACTTTATGCTTTCAAGTTTAGGTCTGGGAAGTCTTTCAATTATTGGTGTATTATCGCCAAATGTGAACTTTGCTGCAATGACCACTACATTTGCATTGGCAGGTATCGTCGGTAAGTCGTTTCCATAATTTCTAAAATATTAATGGTTATTAATGAAGAAGAGGAAAAGTTTAAGAAAACAACGTAAAGGATAAAAAGGCAAGGCTCTCGGCGTTGATCAAACCCTGAGGGATGCGCCATGCATTCGACTTCATTAAGTACCATTGGAGGTGATGGAATGCATATCTGGCCTTTACAATGACTCGCGGTGGCCTACTGATGTATCGAACCAGTGCTGCTATCCTCCCTGACAAGTCTGGTACCAATTTGCTGACCCCGGAGGGATGATAGATTTGGTGGGCCACGGGCGCGGGAATCAATCGCATGTGTTGCAGGGCGCCTCCAACCACTGCCCTACATGAGCCGATTTGCATTTTACGTATTAAGTTTGCTTTGTCATTGCTTCAAGTCAAGATGTCGGAAGTGTTTCGCTGTATTCGGGGAAATTTCAGTTTTACTGTGCTACAAGCTCCTTTGCCAATTTTACACCTTGCTTTGTCGTGTTCTCCTCGTTTTACAGCGATCATCCTTTTTTTCTGTGTTTTAACTTTTATTTACTGTCTATTCTTTTTTCACGGCAGGATATTATGTGAAATGCAACGACAAGGATGCTGAGATATGAGAGAAACTCAGAAACTCATGTGGGCTTTGAACCTGCGATTATCTTATCCAGGGGCTCAAGTAACCACCACACCAGTCGAGGCTCTTCCTTCGCCTTCCTGTCAGCCAGTTTTTTTTCGCTCTAGGTATGTTATCGGCAGTAAAGGGAATGATCTGAGGTTCACAAATCTGGATTGATCTTAGCTAAACTGACATTCTAGTTTCGACTGCAGCTACAGCTTAATTGGGTTCAGTGCCAATTCGTGCTCCTTAAATCGTTCCCATTGATGAGTGATTGTTGATAGCACTGTTAGAGTAAAGAAAAAAAATATGGACTGAGGGAAAGGCAAAACAAAGGCCCTTGGTTGATGTGGTGGATAACACGTAAACTCGCGGAATGGGCAATCACTTGTTCGAAGCGCACTTGAAGCTCCGGATTTTTCTTGTCCTTCGTGCTTAACGCATTTTGGACAATATGAAACGGTCATCATGGCTAGAAATCCTCTGATATTTTGGCTTTATGCAAGCGTGTATTAGCGTGATTTTGTCCCAAGTTGAACTCCGTATCCTCTACTTGAATTACCGCGACGAAGGTTCGCGAATAACCATCTAGAGATCGTTCACTCATGGAATACCATGGTTTAAAGGTATACACCTTTCCATGATGGTGTTACAGCTTCCCAGAGCTCATAAATCGTATTTCTTGCTTTGTTTAGTTAAGGTTATATGTTGAACACGGAAGTGAGGTTTCGTTCGAGAGGTAATGGTGAATTCATTGTTGATCCATAATGGATGTGCACCATTTAGTGTGGCTGGCCCACTGTAGTATGAGGAGTTTATCGTCAGCTGTGTACTTTGTAGTGTTTTCACGATAGCAAATGATTTATTAAGTTATCTATTGTTCAGTGAGTATGAATGAAATGTATGATACTCTTATTGTGAGATGTATTTTGCAGCCTTTGCTGAGTCTCCTTTATTGGCCGCATGTGGAGCAGCGGTCGCAGACGGCGCCCTGCAATACACATGTGGAATCGATCCCCGCGCCCCTTCCCCGCCAAACCTCCCATCTCTCCGAGGTTGGCAAATTGGTACCAGACTTGTTTGGGAGGATAGCAGCACTGCCTCGGTACTTCGGTGGGCTACCGCCAGTCATTGTAAAGGCCAGATTATGCATTCACTCACCTCCAACGATGCTTAATAAATCAAAAGACGGACTTTGTATAAACCTCGGCATAGATAGTTGATATACTTATTTATGTGATCTTATAAACTGATATTCTTTAGCTGATGCGAGGTTGGTATAGGTCACCGTTGTCGTTGTTGTTGTTTCTGTTGTCCTGTTGGTCGATGGCTGACGTTTCGGCGATTTCGGCTTCCTCAGAGCCGTGATGTTACGAGTGTGATGCTTAATAAAGTCAAATGTATAGCGCATCTCTCAAGAATTGATCAATGCCGAGAGATTTAACCTTTATTCTTTTTATGCTGAGTTTCCTTTGGTACTTTTATATCAACACATTTCTTAAAATAACCGTAGTGATTAAAATGAAACAACTGTTAATGTTAGTCAAATTACCAGTGAATTGACTTTTCTGAAGTAAGGGAACGTTTACAAAATGGAAATTATGTGAATCGTTAAGTGCAGAGAATGGTTATCCTTGTCTCACCCCACCCTTTTTCGATCTACTTTCGGTTAGCTATGGAGTGAAAAAGATAGTGCAGTAAAAAATTTCTAGGACTTAGTGCACTGAAAATCGGCACCATAGTGTCCGACATAGGCTAGAATTTACGACTACCGAAGTTGGACTTAGGAGGATTTTTAAAAGCTTTGTTTTTCGAAAACCTCAAGTTTTCATGTACTGTTTTTTTCCGACACACTATTGGCGGTCATCGCGAACCAATATCGTCGCATTTTCTTAAGGGTATCATACCGTATGGGGTGTAGTGCCGGCACTTCATTCACCTTTGATGTCAGTTACAAACGCGATCTCTGGAACTACAGTTGCTGGAGCACTATGTCTCATGGGAGGTGCATAAGTTGCTTCTTGTTATATGTATTCTACAATTCTTGCACACTACAATGAGACTAACGTTTGTAACTAAATTGATTCTTAGGTGGAATGCTACCATCCAACTCTTCTCAAACACTTGCATTTGGAGCTGCTTTCATCTCATCAATCAATATTGGAGGAGGATTTGTGATTACAAAACGGATGCTTGACATGTTCAAGAGAAAAGGTTTTCACTTCATCGCTTTTTTTCCTTCAGCATTCATAGCTATCTTTATCAAAAACCAGTTACCACGTACTATCTACGTTTTCTGAATCTTGGTGAGCAGACTTTTCACTACTATGCATGAACCATGAATATTCATAGAAAGTACTTGAGAATACTAGAAAACTAGTTTTTGCTAATTTCTTCACTTCCTTACTGCGCTTTGAGCGACTACGCCTGCCTCTGGTGAAGTAAAACGTCGATTCCTTGTCCGTGTTCAGTTTATCTTTAACGAGGCTCCCAGTGTAGTAAGGGAAAAGCTTCCTTTAAAGCGTTTGAACATAGGAAGAAATTTGGTATAAAAGTGAAAGAATATCGCTAATCACTTTTAAATGCTTTTGTTCATTGAAATCACGATATTCAGATGATCCACTGGAGCACAACTATTTATACGCTGTTCCAGCAGCCCTATTTTTAGGAGGTTATTATTATGGCTTGCAGACAGTGAGTTAATATTAGGAATGGGCTGGCTTAGATTTATCGTATTGTAGTCTATGAGAGTGATTACTAAAATTGTAGAACGCCCCGTCTGCACATTCGATCGCATACCTTGGCTCATCATTGTGCTGTGTCGGTGCACTGGGCGGTCTTTCGAGTCAGAGAACAGCACGTGCTGGAAATGCTCTAGGTGTGTTTTCTCCAGTATTTAGTTTCGAGGTGTTCGTATTTTCTATGCACAAGAAGGAATTATTTGCACAAGAATTCCTGAACATTAGCAAAAAATGTTTTAAAGTTTCTAGGCATGACCGGTGTTGTCGGCGGCCTAGCAGCTACGCTTGGATCCCTCAATCCTGATCCCGATACGCTTCTTCAAATGGCCACTGCCATTGGAATTGGATCGACCATTGGAGTAGGAATTGCCCAAAAGATTAAGGGAGGCTCCGTTTCACCAAATTCTTTTTCTCATTCCATTATTTGGGCTTTTCTAGCTTAATTTTCAAATGGCTTCAAAGAAATCTAGTCTTTACACTTTCTCTCCGTGAAGTCTTCCACATTTCTTTGCCATTTGTTCCATAGATCACTATTTAAGCAGTCAAGGAAAAAAAATTAAGAAAGTCTTTAAGTAACAGGTGCTTTTTCGAAATGTTGACGTATTCTCCTAACTTATGACCGTGCATTTTTAAAAATGATCCAATGTCCTTTGACCTTACAGAGGAGCAGATAATCGTTAGGGTATTTTTCTTTGAGGATGCTCTCGATCGCCATACTATCCTCCTGTATGGCGCTTCACTTAGCAATTTCCAAGACCGACTTTCTGTTAAACTCGGAATTGATTGATAATTCGATTTTTTTCTTTAATAAGCAGACACGAGGTTGTTATTATAGAATTCATTAGAACACAATAGCCGACGTTTCGCCGGTTTCGCCTTCTTCAGAGCCTGGAAAGGTCAAACTGAGTTGCGATCTATTCAGCCAAACACTTTTATAACCCTAGCAGATAAAACTTAACATTTAAATTTAAATCAGTGCGTAAAGCTCTTGGAGTGTTTTGGATCAATTCTAAAAATTTAAGAATGAACCGCAAGGAGGAGTGTCCTGTCATCACGCGTGACCTGGCGCCATACCTCAGGCTAATCCAATGACCTGACAACTTAAATACTTACAATAAATAAACGGTAGGTGTTTAAAGGAAGCTGTTTCATATACGAATACAAATTTATTTGTTAAGTATTATCTGCTGGGGTTATGAAAGTGTTTGGCTGAGTAGATCGCATCTCAATTGGACCCTTCCAGGCTCTGAAGAAGGCGAAACCGCCGAGACGTCAGCTACTTTATTCTAATGAATTTTATAATAACAACCTCGTGTTTGCTTATTGAAGAAAAGCATCGAATTATCCTTCTGTATATCCGTTTTCAGATATTCTATTCTTATCGCTCGACCATCGTATATATGCTTGACGTCAGTTGGCGAAATCTGAAATAATGTTATGTCCAAGGGTTGTGTTTAGTCTTTACTTAACGAGGTAAATGGCTAGCTCTCTAGTTTTGGTACTTAGGCCTGTCGAAATACCTGAGATATACTTGCATGCGTCGTCCTCACTGGTTGTGCGGCTGCAACAAAATTCCCATTTTTCGGAGTTCCGCTGGTTTACCCACTGTGGCTCTCTGGAGTTCCGAGGTCAGAGTAGCCAAAATCTGCCCCAAGTCGCTCCTACTAGAATTCAGTTGCCGCCTTTGCGGATCAAAGGGAGATTTGCCACCATGCGATTAGTTTGATACAGAGACGGACGGTGGTGGATCCTGGTATTGGTTTACTCTTAGCTGGACTTCCTTATTGAAACGCTGCACTCCTCAACTTGGGTGACCCTTCCGAGATGAATCCCCTCGCCGTACACCACAACCCGACACTCGGGAACACCTCTCAACCACGATAAGGAGGTAAACCGTTGGAGGATAGCTGAAATATGGTCAATTTAGATCTCATACGTGTAGTCGTATGCTGTCTGAGGTGTTGCACATGTGAGCGGTAAGGTCGTGCTGCATCAGTTTCTTGGGGACTTCAGTAATTGGTACAAAAACGATGCTATGCTTTTCTTCCAATGGTTTTTCATATGCTTTTCCATAGTCACACAATGCTCGAAATACAGGTAGTGTATTCCCATTGATCGTTTAGCGACCACTCTCCAAAACATGTTTCTTTGAACTTACCAGTTACACAGACTATTGATTGGAGTTGTTGACTTTCGTCTTAGGTTGAACTGGAAAAAAAGAGAGTTGACGATGGTGGATAGTTTCTAGCATTAGTCGATATGAGTGCAATAGATGGGTGAGCTAAGGAATCAATCCACTCTAAAATTTCGCGACATACTCTTCTTTCTAGCTGCAATACAGATCTTATGCTTTAACCGGCGTATGCTGGCCTTTTTGCTCTTCTTCTAGGCAAGCACCCGGTTCTTTTCAGGGCCTGGTGCTTTTACAGAAGTGCGAATAAGCTGTTTTTATCGGTTGAGAATTTTACTCTGAATTTTGGGTTAGGCATCTCAGGATTTCATGTCATCACTGGGATGTGGAAGAGCTAAAATTGGAAGAAAAGACCTTCGTTCCGACTTATTACATTAATGTTCCTATTAAGTTATGCCCTCATTAACTTTATTACAGGTTTCCGATCTTCCCCAACTTGTGGCCGCTTTTCACTCATTCGTAGGATTAGCAGCTACCATGACATGCCTAGCGAATTATATTGCTGAACATTCGCACTTCCTCGCGGATCCCAGTGGTAGTTTACTTATCCTATATTCATTATTAATCGTTTGGTTCCTAGTTTATGACGTTCTGCATTTAATGTTATATGGGGATAATCAAGGGCACGTGTGGCTCAGTGATCGGAGGCGCCCTGCAACACATGGGATCGATCTCCGCGCTTATGGCCCCATCAAGTCTTCCATAGCTCCGAGGTGGGAAAATTAGTACCAAATTTGTCTGGGAGGATAGCAGCACTGGTTCGAGATATCGGTAGCCCACGGCGAGTCATTTTAAAGGCCAGATATGCATTCAGTCATCTCCAAACGATGCTTAATATAGTTGAATGCATGGCGCATCCCTCAGGGATTGATCAACACCGAGAGCTTTATGAAGATAATGTCGAGTTTATTTTCACCTTGTTAATCGTCCTATTAGTGCCATTCTTTTTCTGCCACCTGCCACTTTAACCATGTTTAAACAGCTGGCGGGACTAGCAGTGTACCGTGAATTGAAAGCTATTTAACCTTCAAAGTTTTCTAGGTGTTTACCATCAGTTTCGAAATTTCTGTTAAGGTTTTGCTGCTGCGAAACTATCCCTATTTCTTGGGACCTATATTGGTGGTGTGACATTCACCGGTAGTCTCATGGCATATGGCAAACTTCAAGGTATGTTTTTGCTAAGATATCTTGTTTTCTACTGTTATGAAAAATGACTTTGTAGGGCTTCTCATTCTGAATTCGTTCTATAATTTTATTTTATAGCATTGGAAAAATTGTTCTTTTATGATCAGTTAGGTGATTTCTATTTGACTGGTTCATTAAGTTTGTAGGAAGCGTAAGTTCACTTTTTGGCCTTCTTTTTTTCAAGAGCGTGAGGTATTTTACCAGGAGTTAATGTATGTGATTATAATTAAGGTATATTGAATTCGGCAGCTACCTATCTTCCTGCTCGTCATGCGCTCAACTCAGCTCTGTTGCTGGGAAACGGAGTTGCTCTGGCTATTTATATGTCGAATACGGATTATTCTATGGGACTTCAAATGCTTGGATTGACGACGGGCTTGAGCAGTATGATGGGTGTAACGCTTACTATGGCCATTGGAGGTGCGGTGAAATGTATACAATTGAGCAAAGCTGGAGGGTTTTATATTGCGATGCTTCAGAAAGTTTTGAAAAAAGATGGCGAGCAACGGTTATCAACTGTCCACGGTAATCGATTATTGTCATACTGGGAAATTACTACTTAGATTTTTACTAATTACCTGCATATGTGCTTGTGCCTTCTTACATACACAGCACATACATGTGTACTTGTTTTCTTCTCTGTTGACGGGCCTGTAATGTAATCTGTTGTTTTTTTTATGAATATCTAGATGAGCTGTCATTGCGAATCATTGCAGGTTTAAACCACTATTCACTGTTTATTTGTTTCTCCAATCATGGCGTGGGGATGGTTCTATGGTTGTTTTATGTAAGCAGCAGCACGAATTTTGCAGACTGTCGAGTAGTTTTTAAAAAGCCATTTTCGTTTTTCGAATTTTCTCGTCTTTGTAAAATGGTTACGAGCACCTGTGACCTTCTTCATAAGGACTCCATTACGATACGCTTCGAGTAACATGCACACTCTTCGCTAGAAAACGTTTTCCTGGTCCATGCTTTAATGGCAATCTGAATCGCTTCCATGGAGGCATGTTAAGTTTGAACTCATTAAGCATGACAAATTAAGATTGATAACACGATTCTTTTGCCTTGATGGAATCATCCGAAACGCCATGAAGTCATCGTGATTAAGAAAGAATATTTCATAAGAGATTGTTAGGGAAGAAGTAGGCTGGAGATTGCTATTCGGGTAAGGAACCAGTATTTTTACAAAATCTTTTCACAAATTTGATAGCCACAGAAGTGGCCGCTGTTTTCACGTCCGTCTAATACTTATATTCGTTTTGTTGCCTTTTGCACCATCAGTAACACAAGGATTGTTGCTAGTGAAGAGGGTATGTTTCATAATATCTTAAAGCATAGTGGTTAGCCCCCAGCGATCGACCACTAAGCACCATCTCTGCGTCATTGGTGTGATACCCGTGTTGTCGACAAATCGAGGTATTTTTTGTAGGGCTTTGCCATAAACGCGTATTTTCTTTCCGTCACAATGGAGCAACTTCACAATCGTCTTGAAAGTGGCAGTGAGCCGTTTTGGCGTGTTACCACCTAGTTGAATTGAAGTTACTATATGGTATGGATCAGCAGTGCCATCTGCATTTTCTGAGAGGATGTTGTCTTCGCGGATGGGAGCCGTCCAATCATTTAACTACCACATGTCATTCTTGCCTTTTCTTCCAACTATCTTTCGGAATTTAGGATAAGTCGTACACTCAAGACTTTCTAATTTAAGTCTCTGATGTGCGTCAACCCTTGCTGTACTTCGCAATTCAGTACCACATTTTATTATAAACCATGAATGTTTGGGGAAGTGCTTCAACTAAGCCTAGTAAGTGCTGCGTACGTATCTCCATATACACATCCATATAAACATTTGTGTACATATATGTATATATATATGTACATGTATATATATGTACATGTATCTATATATATATATATAT